TTTCCGAATATTAAACCAGATTTGCATTTCTGCAATAAATCCCACTTGGTCCTGATGTTTTATTTCCTTAATGTGGGAAATTTTTTTGCTAATATTTTTTTTTTTTTTAAAGATTTTATTTATTTATTTGACAGAGAGAGAGACAGCGAGAGAGGGAGCACAAGCAGGGGGAGTGGGAGAGGGAGAAGCAGGCCTCCCGCGGAGCAGGGAGCCCGACGCGGGGCTCGATCCCAGGACCCCGGGACCATGACCTGAGCCGAAGGCAGACGCTCAACGACTGAGCCACCCAGGCGCCCCTTTTTGCTAATATTTTAATTAAAATTTTTGTATCAATATTCATGAATTATATTGGCCAATAGTTTTCTTTCTCTGTACTGTGTCTAGTTTAGATATCAGTATTATGTTTGCTTCATAAAAGAAATTAGAAAGTTTTCCTTCCTTTTTAATGTCCTATATTGATGGTTTGGTAGAATTTTCCTGTAAAATCATCTGGGCCTGGTGCTTTCTCTTGGGGGTAGTTACTTAATAATTTTCTGTCTTCTCTATGGAGATTGGTCTTTTAAAACTTTCTAATTCTAATGGGTCCAATTTTGCCAATCTGAATTTCCCTAGGAAATAATCAATGTCTTTACCATTTGTATGGAAGTCTTATATGATTGCAAGTTTTTTCTTGTCTTAGTGGTTATTTTCCCTTGATATTCATTTAAAGTGTGTTTTCTTTTCTTTTTTCTTCTTTTCTTTTCTTTTTATTTATTTGTCAGAGAGAGAGCACAAGCAGGGGGTGCAGCAGGCAGAGGGAGAGGGAGAAGCAGGCTCCCCATTGAGCAGGGAGCCCGATGTGGGGCTCGATCCCAGGACCCTGGGATCACGACCTGAGCCGAAGGCAGGCACTCAATCGACTGAGCCACCCAGGAGTCCCTAAAGTGTGTTTTAAAAGAAACCCAGTATGGGGCGCCTGGGTGGCTCAGTCAGTTAAGCGTCTGACTCTTGATTTCAGCTCTGGTCATGATCTCAGGGTCATGGGATTGAGCCCGCATTGGGCTCTGCACTCAGCACAGAGTCTGCTTGAGATTCTCTCCCTCTGCACCCACCCCCATTCAAACTCTCTCTCTCTCAAATAAATAAATAAATAAAATATTTTTAAATAAATAAATAAACAAAAGAAACCCAATATGATGGGTGAAGGAATGAAAGGAGACTTTTTTCTTCTTGGTGCACTTCTATATTACATTTCTTCTCCAGTGGAAATATTCATGTACTACTTATATAATTTTTTAAAGGATTTTATTTATTTATTTCAGAGAGAGAGAGCATGACCAGGAGAAGGAACAGAGGAAGAGGGAGAGAGGGAGAATCCTCAAGCAGACTCCCAGCTGAGCATGGAGCCTGATGCGGGGCTTGATCCCAGGACACTGAGATCATGACCTGAGCTGAAGTCAAGAGTCAGCCACTCAACTGACTGAGCCACCCAGGCACCCCTACTACTTATATCATTTTTAAAAAGCAATATGAACAGAAGAATAAAGCCCAAAGGACACACACACACACACACACACCCTCTAACTGATAAGGGGTCTATGGCTCAATTAGTCTCCTTTGATATAAATTAACATGTCAAGATACAGTTTGAATCAGCCAACTATTTTAAAAATTACGTTTGTATCTGAAACATATTTTGGAGATGATTGCATTATTAGTTAGATGAGCCAATTTTTAAGGTGCATGCTGTCCCCCATCCCTCCAACGAAACAGAAAGCCTCTCTGTGAGCTCAGATATAGACTTCTCCTACAGCTCTAGCACAGTCCCCCAGTTATACCAGGTGCTTAAAAGTTGATGACTAAGGGGCGCCTGGGTGGCTCAGTCAGTTAAGCATCTGACTCTTGATTTCAGCTCAGGTCTTGATCTCAGGGTCATGAGTTCAAGCTCTGTATCAGACTTCGCACTGGCCATGGAGCCTACTTAAAAAAAAAAAAAGTTGATGATTGATTATTACTTTGGCATAGTTATAACACCTTATGTTTTCATGATGCTTTTCAGGTGTTCAAATATTTTCTTATTTGGCCCTCACAATACCAAGTTAGGTAGACTTGGCAGGGTATCTGCATTTTATAGGTGAAGAGAAAAATCTCAAAGAGATTAAGTGGCTTTCCTAAGGCCATCTGGCTGACATGGGATGGGTTGGAACTGGCACTAAGTCCACTCCTCTTTTATGCTATGGTGCTAATTGCAGCCTGATTTCTCTAAGACACGTTTTAATGGTATGCCCCATCACAATGTTTGCTAAATGATAGTGTCAATAACAGAGATGTTATACGGGCAAAACAATTTAGAGATTGCACTTTTAAATGCTCACTCGGCCTTAAGAGGGTAATTATATAATATATAATGACTTAGGAAACCCAGCCACTTTAAAAAACTTACTATAATGGTGAAATTATCTGCGATGCTAAGCAAAAGAACCAAGTACACTGTATTGCTTAGCATTTCTATTTAGCTGCAAGTAGAGTTTTTAGACATTCCACCCCCATTCATTCAACACATATTTATTGAGTGCCAAGTACATGCCAATCCCTTTTTTCAGCACTGAGGATACAGAAGTGAACAAAACAGAGTCTGTGTTCTCAGGGCTCACACTCTAGTGGAGGGAGACAGACAACGAACAAATGAATATACACTATGGGCAATGCTATGGAGGAAGAAATGGAGCTTTAAATGGGCTGGCCGGGGAAGGTCTTTCTGATAAAGAGACATCTGAGCGGGACATAAAAGAATGTAGGAAGTGAGCCATATTCCCTCCAAGCAGAGGGAATAACAGGTAGAAAGGCCCTGGGGCAGGAGAGAAAATTCTGTCATTCTTAAAAGTGTAGAAGAGGAACTACCTCATCCTCAAATGATCCATAGAGAGCCACCAAATCTACACTTTCTCCCAAGATTGGTGACTGGTGTCTTGGATTTACATGATTGCTTTTATTTAAAATAACATTTCTAATAAATAGTAAAAACTACTTTGCCTCTGTTGCCTAAATAATATCAAATATATATTTCTTAATTTTTAAATTTTTTAGAGAGAGAGTACAAGCTGGCAAGGGGCAGAGAGAGAGGGTGAGAGAGAATCCCAAGCAGGCTCCACGCCCAGCGAGGAGCCCACTGTGGGGGCCAATCCCACAACCCTGAGATCACGACCTGAGCCAAAATCAAGAGTCAGATGCCTAACTGACTGAGCCACCCAGGCACCCCATTATCAAACTTTTTAAAAAAGAAAATACTGAGGGGCACCTGGGTGGCTCAGTCAGTTAAGTGTCTGCCTTCGGCTCAGGTCTTGATCTCAGGGTCCTGTGATTGAGCCCTGCATCGGGCTTCCTGCTCCATGGGGAGCCTGCTTCTCCCTCTCCCTCTGCCCCTCCCCCTGCTTGTGTTCATGCTCTCTCTCTCTCTTTCTTGCTCCGTCTCTCTTGCTCACTCTCTCAAATAAATGAATAAAATCTTTAAAAAAAAAGAAAATACTGAACATTTTATTTCTTTATTTATTTTTACCTTCATATCTTCCCCACATAGACACTGTCTTTTTTCTTTCTTTTTTTTTTTTTTAATAAATTGAATTTTTACCTAAAGGACTAAAGCTACATAGCACGGGGCTTTTGAAAAATTTAGTTGACCCGGGAAAACAATCAGAAGAGATGCTCTTTTAGCTGGGCATTTGAAGAGCTGAACTGACCTTTGTGTTATAGAAACCACACTTCTTGCTCAAAATGTTTGTTTGCCTTCCTCATATATAGGCTTTATGCTAAGGAAATAACCAGGATATTTAGTGTTTTGTGTCTCTGACCTCCGAGTTTAATGACCTCCAAACCCAAAACTCATGACTTCAAACAGCAGCCATATTATTACCTTATGATTCTGTGGGTTGACCTAACTCAACTGGGCAATTCTGCTGGTCCTCTTGGTGTTTCTCAGGCAGTTGCACCACATGGTAGGGGAGGTTATAGTCATCTGGAAGCTTGCCAGTGATGCAGGAATAGCTGATTCTCCTTCCCCAAAATAGTGTTGGGCTTCTCCTCTCTATTTGGGCTTTCCACATGGCGGCTTGGGCTTCCTCACAGCATGGCAACTAGGTTCCATAAGGAAATGGAAGCTGCCATTCTTTCTAAAGGCTGAGCGCAGAATTGGCACAGCGTCATCTCCACTTCATTCTATTAGTTAACAGAGTCACAGCCAGTCCAGATTCAATGAAGGAGAGGACTGCACAAGTACATGAGTAGCATGGAATTGTAGTGCATTGAGATCCATCTTTAGAGACCAATTATAGCACCTTCTCATCCTGCATCATTGTTAGGTGTGTTTGCTCTTGTTACATAACCAAATAGAAAGTCTATAACACATGCTGGGAAAAAGTATTATGCAAACACAGAAAAAGGAATAACCAATCCTTTCTGGCAGAGAGAAAAATGACTTTGATGGGAAGGAGATGTCAAGCTAAATCTTCAATGATGAATGGTCTCCCTGGGAAGCTCAGGTAGGACAGGTGAGGCAGAGGAAATAGTGTATGTGAGCCTGCTGAGGCATGAAGGAGCCTGTGGTGTTTGGGGGAACCCAGGACCTTAGGAGCATGTGAAAGGGTAGAGGAGATGGTGGAAAAAACTGAAGAGGAAATCTGGGGTTTGATCAAGACAGGATATTCCAGGGGCCTAAAGAGCACTTCCACTAGCTGAAAGAAAAGCCAGACCCTCCTTTGGGTAAAGTTAATTCCTCAGCATGCACCACCTACCTGTATTTTGGAATACACATTGAGAGTATAGGTTTTAGTTTGCCTGGGCTGGCCTGCTCCATGTGGTTGCCATGATGCTAATTTATAAATATTCTCATTCTCCTCTCCTGAGTACATGGGATTGTGCTTCCTTAACCCCTTTGAAGATAGGTATGGTCTGATAACTTGCCTTAGTTGAAGAAATGTAAGTAGAAGTGATGAGCAAGCAGAAGCTTTAGAAGTCAATGAGAGATTGTGCTCGCCTCAGCAGCATGTACACCAAAATTAGAACAATACAGAGAAAATTAGCATAGCTCCTGCACAAGGATGACATGCAAATTCGTGAAGCATTCCATATTTTTGAGAATTTATAAAACTCAACACCTAAAAAACAAATAATCCAATTTAAAAATGGGCAGAGGACATGAACAGACATTTCTCCAAAAAAGACATCCAGATGACCAACAAACACAAGAAAAGATGCTCAACATCACTTATCATCAGGGATGCAAATCAAACTACAATGAGATATCACCTCACATCTGTCAGAATGGCTAAAATCAACAACACAAGAAACAAGTGTTGGCAAGGATGTGGAGAAAAAGGAACCCTAGTGCACTGTGGGTGGGAATGCAAACTGGTGCAGCCATTCTGGAAAACAGTATGGAGGTTCGTCAAAAAGTTGAAAATAGAATTACCTTACAATCCAGCAATTGTTACTGTGTATTTACCTAAAGAATACAAGAACACTAATTCGAAGGGATACACACACCCCTATGTTTATAGCAGCATTATTTACAATAGCCAAGGAATGGAAGCAGCCCAAGTGTCCACCAATTGATGAATGGATAAATAAAATGCGATACACACACACACACACACACACACACACACACACATATGATGGAATACTATTCAGCCATAAAAAAGAACAAAATCTTGCCATTTGCAATGACATGGATGGAACTAGAGAGTATAATGCTAAGCAAAATAAGTCAGTCAGAGAAAGGCAAACACCATATGATTTCACTCATATGTGGAGTTTAAAAAACAAAATAAACAAGCAAAGGGAAAAAAATAAGAGAGCCAGTGAAAGCAAGAAACAGACTGTTTTTTGTTTTTTGTTTTTTTTTTAAAGATTTCTCTTACTTATTTGACAGAGAGCGAGACAGCGAGAGAAGGAACACAAGCAGGGGGAGTGGGAGAGGGAGAAGCAGGCTTCCCGCCGAGCAGGGAGCCTGATGTGCGACTCGATCCTGGGACCCTGGGATCGTGACCTGAGCTGAAGGCAGATGCTTAATGACTGAGCCACCCAGGTGCCCCAAGAAACAGACTCTTAACAGCAGAGAACAATCTGACAGATACCAGAGGGGAAGGGGTAGAGGAGATGGGTTAAATAGGTGATGGGGATTTAGGAGTACACTTGTCATGATAAGCACAGGGTGCCATATGCAATTGTTGAATCACTACATTGTACTCCTGAAACAAATATAACACTGTATGTTAACTAACTGGAATTAAAATTAAAAATTAAAAGAGGAAGTCAATGAGAGATTCATCACATATCCTTTCCCCACCTCAAGCACCACAGAAACAGGCTGAGATGGAGGCTTCATGAGCCTGGGCCCTGAATCTATGAAGAGCAAGTGTTCTGCACTGGCCCTTAGTGGGCTTGCAGTGTGAGTGAGAAATAAACCTTTGTTGTATTAAACTGCTGAGATGTAGGGATTATTGGTTACCACATATATCTTAGTCTATTTTGACATTATACTGTAGGTGATCTTGAGCAACTTATTTGGCTTCCCTGTGCCTTAGTTTCTTCATCTGTGGAGAGGAAACAATAGTAGCTCCCTCTTTTATTTTATTTATATATTTGAGAGAGAGAGCATGAGTGGGGGGGGTGCAGAGGGAGAGGGAGAAGCAGACTCCCCGCTGAGCAGGGAGGCCACGGTTGGGCTCAATCCCACAACCCTGGGATCATGACCTGAGCAGATGCTCAACTGACTGAGCCACCCAGGCTCCCCCTGAAGTATCCTTTTTAGAATTCCTTTTCTATCTTTCTTCCTTTTTTATTGAAGTATAAGTGAAAATACTACATTAGTTTCTGGTGTATAACATAGTGACTCAACAAGTCTATACATTATGCTAGGCTCACCGCAAATGCAGCTGCCATCTGTCACCATACAACACTATTAGAATACCATTGATTATATTCCCTATGCTGTGCCTTTTATCCCTGTGACTTATTCATTCCATAACAGGAAGGCTGTACCTTCCATTCCCTTCACCCATTTTCCCCCTTCCCCACTCCTCCCCTCTGGCAACCATCAGTTTACTCTCTGTATTACAGGTCTGTTTCTGCTTTTTGTTTGTTTGTTCATTTGTTTTTCTTTTTCTTTTTTCTTTTTTTTAGATTCCACATGTAAGTCAAATCATATGGTATTTGTCTTTCTCTGACATTTCATTTAGCATAATGCCCTCTAGGTCCATCCATGTTTTTGCAAATGGCAAGGTCTCATTCTTTTGTATTTTCTATCTTTATAGTTATCCTCCTATCGCAACTTAATTCTCTATGTTTAGTCTCCCATTTAAATTGCTGTGTGTTCCTGTTTTTTGATTGGGCTCAGACTGATCTATAAAGCATTTGCACACAACAGAATATATTGTGGCCATTAAAATGATGATGTAGATGTATTAACTGTATCTATGTCATTGCTGAGTGAAACAAGTAAAATTATATGTGTATATATGCATGAAGAACACTGGAAGGGTGTCAGAAACTGTTAGTGGTTATTTCCAGGTAATGAGATTGTATGAGTTTTACTGTCTTTGTACTGTTCTTAGTTTTACTTTCTTCCCATGAGTGTGTATAATTTCACCCAAAGCAATAAAGTTAATTCCTTCCAACCCTCAAAAAACCCAGGTGATATTCTGGTTCTGGCACCAATTCCATTGTGTGCGTTGTGGGGAGGGGGAATCCCACACAGCATCTAGTAATTCTCCAGACACCCACAGAGTGAAGAATTCAACTCCGTTCTGACACTATGTACCCCGAGATAGCATCAGATTGCACAGGTTAAGGGTTCACTTCTATAAGACTGCTTTCTGCTCCAGATGCCAGTCGCAAGTGCTGGTTGTTACCTATGCTTCTGACTAACTGGCTATAAATCAGAGGTGGCCCAAGATCCCCCTCCTCAGGTTCGATTAATTTGCTAGAACGGCTCACAGAACTCAGGGAAACATGTTACTAGATTTCTGGTTTATTATAAAAGGATATAAATCATGAACAGCCAGGTGTTAGAGATGTATAGGGCAAGGTATAGGCAAAGGACACAGAGCTTCCATGCCCTCTTTAGGCACACCAGTCTCCCCAAATCTCCATATGTTCATCAACCTGGAGGCTCTCTGAATTCCATCCTTTCGGGTTTTTATGGAGGCTTCTAACGATTGATTAAATCATGGCCATTGGTGATTGATTCACCTTCCAGCTCCCCTACCCTCCCAGAGGTCAGGGGGTGGGACTGCAACTTCCAACCCTCTAATCATCTGGTTGCCTCCGTTGGCAACCAACCTGCTACCAAATTCTGAGGGTTTGGGGATCCGTGAGCCAGGAATTGTGAACAAAGACCCAATATATATGAGAAATGTATTTTGGTCATCTGAATGACCAAAAGGATATTTTTTATAAATCACAACATTGCACTGGGTGACACCCTTGATTTTAAAAGGTAAAGTCCAAACTCCTTACCATGGCTTATGATGTAATTTAAGGCCTAGCCCCTCCTTATTGGTTTAACCCCATAATCTGTCATTCTACACAGAAATTCTAATTAATGGGAAGGTCAATCATTCATCAGACCTGGTCTAAAATTCCCTCCTTTTTGGAACCTTTCCCAATTCATTCCCCTTAACCTTGTGTTATGGTGTTAAATTCATCAAAAGTTATATGGCTAGGGACTTTTCAATGGAAGAGGTGGTCTGAGCCCCTGTTGGTGCAGGATCTCTGTCCTTCTTGGGGGGCAGGGGGTAGGCTCTTTTTCATTGTAAGCTGCTATACCAGGCTGAGCACCTCAAACATACCAGCTGCTAGATAAGGCTAAACTATGTCAGGGACAAAGGACAACCAGGTTTCCATCAGATGATACTGACAGATCCAGTTGCTGACTTTGTACTTTTGCTTTAGCTCAGTGCTTCTCAAATTTTACTGTGCACAGACATCTTTTACAGTTGTTGTAAAGTGCAGATTCTGATTCAGTAGCTCTGAGGTAGGCCTGAGATTGTGCGTTTCTAACAAGTTCCTGATTTTCTAACAAGATGTGCAGGTGCTGGTCCATAGACCATCCTTAGAGAGGGAAATATTAGCTTATTTCTAAATACATTTTTGAAATATAATCTAAGAAGAAAAGCAGCCCTATTTCTACATCTTAGTCAACTCAACCTCAGCATGGACACAATTCAGCTTTCACGCCACAAAATGATATTGGGGGGGGTCCTAAGTAAACCATTTCTCCCACGAGTGCCTCTCTGGACACTCCCCCACATAATTTCTCTTGGTGATATAATTATGGACTTCCACTCAGCTCCTCTTTAGGGATTATGTGCGCATAATATCTGCCCTCTGTTCATACAGCTTTTTAAGAAGAGAAACCATGTCCTGCTCATACCTCAGCTTTTAGCTCACTACTTAGTGGGAAAGCATAATGGTTAGAAGTGGCAGACTGCCTGCATTTATGTCCCAACTCATGTCCCACTTACTGAGGCACTTCTCTTACTCTAAGACGGGGACAGTAGAAGCATCTACCTCTTCAGATTGTTGTAAGGATTAAATGAACAGAATTAGGATGACGGCTAACACCTAGCAAATTATATAAAATTTAGCTATGATTATTAGTGAATGTGTAGAATAATGAATCTTTCAGAAACAGTATCACATCCATTTGATCATGTAGCATGTATTAATTAATTTTCACCCATTAATTAATTTGTTGCATTTTTATTAACACATGCAAAATTATTTGTCAGGGGCACATGCATACAAACAAGAAACTCATTCACTCACACAACAAATATTTCCTGAATGAAGGGCACCTCTCCAGGCACTGAAGATGAGGCCAGAAAGAAGGGGCCAGAAAGAAGGGAAAGAAGGATACAGAAACGAGACAGATATAATTTCTGGCCTTACAGAGGAGAAATAAGAAGAAAGAATCATAATGCAGGGCACAAGAGTCCAATGCTGCAGGAGGGAAAGCAATAACATGTTCATGCCAGTCATCACGTTTCCTGCCAGCGTCTATTCAATATGCAGTATCGGAAACCGTATTTTCCTTGGAGAACCACCCCCCTTCACTCTATCCCAGCGTTC